TAATCATGTCTTGCACCATGAGCAAAATCTTTGCTGTTATCTGAGTAATTATTTCTGATTTCATTTTTCCCATATCCTCTTTTGTTGCCAGTTTGGAGAGTCCAGGTGGTTAAGTATCAGATTGTTCCATCTCATTTCCCTTTGGGGTTGCTGTAGGTGATCATGAAGTCTGTTTTTGAGGGTTGTTTATGTGTCTTCTCATTTCCACGGGGGCCAGGGGCCGGGGGGGAGTGCTTCTGGCGCCCGTGTGGCTCACCTTCTCTGCCCTAGGAGCTTGGGATGGCAGCAGGGGAGCTTCCTTCCAGGTTCTGGGACTGGATCACCTTCTCTGCCCTAGGAGCTTGGGGTGGCAGTAGGGGAGCTTCCTTCCGGGTTCTGGGACTGGCTCACCTTCTCTGCCCTGGGAGCTTGGGATGGCGCCAGGGGAGCTTCCTTCCAGGTTCTGGGCACTGGCTGATTTCTTGATAGCAGCCATTCTTTATGAGTGAGGTGGAATCTCAGTGTTGTTTTCATCTGCATCTCTCAATGACTAGTGATGTTGAACATTTTTTCATTTTTCATATGTTTATTTGCTGCTTTTACTTCTTTGTCTGAGAAATGTCTGCTCATTTCAGATGCCCATTTTTGAATTGGGTCTTTAAATTTGGGGAGTCTGATTTTTTTTAAGTTCTTTATATATTCTAGATAGTAGTCCTTTGTCTGAGGAATAGCTGATAAAAACTTTTTTCCCACATTGTAGGCTGTCTCTTCACTCTGTTGGTGGTTTTTCTTGCAGTGCAAAAGCTTTTTAATAAGATGAGATCCCACTTGTTGATTCTTTGTTCTACTTCACATGCAACTAAAGATTTAGTCATAAAGTCTTTTTTCTATGCCAGTATCTTCAAGAGTTCTACCTAACTTATCTTTAAAGATATGGGTCTAGTTTTAATCTTTGGCAAGTTGAAATCCAGTTTTTCCAGCACCATTTATTAAAGAGGCTATCTTTCCTCCAGTGAGGGTGTTTGGCTCCTTTGTTGAAGATGAGGGGGCTGAGTGTGTCTGGAGTTGTTTTTGGATTTTCTAACCTATTCCACTGGACTTCGGGATCTGTTTTTAGGTATACGTTATGATCGCATTCATCATTGGGAATTTGTACCTGTACATGGTATATCTTGGTTCTTGTTTTTTCCCCTTTCCCCTTCCCTCCCTTCCACCCCTCCACCCCTCCCTATTTACAATAAAACTTTGTTTCTGGTTTTTCCTTCTTTTCTCATATTTTTTTCTTTCTCTTCTTTCCTCCAACCTCCCCACCCCCCGGCCCAGTTTACTTTTTAGGTTGTCTCTATTTAGTTTGTTTTTAGACTTTAAGGTTTTTCCAACACCTCACCAACTGTCTGAATTTTGCATGGGCTCTGGACCTAATCAGCAGAGTACCAAGATACTACATTTTTATTGAGCTAAAGTTTAAAACTTCAAGTTTGTAGGGATCTTATCTATAGCTAATGATTAAGAAAGTTAAGAAAAAATACATCTTTGTTTTATACAAGGCCCCCCAGCCACCTATCTGCAGCCTAATAACTAACTTTCTGCCTAACATTGTAACTGTATCACTTTAGGCTTCCTTCTAGGTCCCTAAAACAGTTTACCAGTTTTTCATCAATCTTTTTAATCAATTCAGCTCCTGGCTTAAAGTTCATTCTCCCAGAACACCTTCCCTTAGATAGAGATCAGAAAAACATGAGTTGGGTTTCTGTCCACCAATCCAAAAAAAGGGGGACAACTAATATTTGGTAACTCACCTTCCAGCTACACCATTGTTCTTCATTAACAAACAGGTTATCCTTAATAAGATAGACCTGCCTTGCTTTTGCTTCTTCTTAACAATCAATCTGCCTTTAGAGCTAGAAATCTAAAGAAACACCATCTCTCAATTCTCTTCTGAAAATTCTGTTTTCTCCACCTTTCTCTTTTTCTCAGTTTTCATGAACACGATTTCTCATACATAAATGAAATGGCATATTGTATGAAATAATTATAAGATATTTTAAAAGTTCTTTTGCACACTTAGACAGTATTAGAGAGGAAGCTAAAGCCAGTTCTGATGATAACAGGTAGAAGGTAGGAATTGAGCTAATATCAAGGTATTCATCTTAAGCCACTTTCAGAAAAAAAGAAAAAGTATTATTTAGTTGAACAAATCTGCAATCCCTTTTGTTCTAGATATGACAGCTGCTCTTCAAAATAATATTGAAAATATTAATCCCACAGAAAACATTTTGTTTTGACCGAGTGCCTGCATGCTATGTCACCTCATTAAACCCAGCCAAATGAAGGAAGTATAGGTTGATGAGAAGCTTAACTGATGAAAAGGTATCACCAAGGAAGAAGTTAACATCCCTTTGCCTAAATGAATCCTTCAGGTTAGGAAGGAAAATTTATCCAGATAGATTCTCATGCCTTACTCACAGTGGCATGTGACTAACTGCACTTTATAGTCTATTGTGAAGGATATAATAATTAACTGGCCATTCACATCCTAGAAAAGTCACATTAGCAGCCCTTATCAGTGCTTCAAAGCTGAAGCAGTAGAGTGTAAAACTCGAATTCTCAAGAGCTCAGAAAATGATTAAAGTTAGAAATAATCCATGGCTGCTTATAAATGAAGCCCAAGATTCCTAGCATTATTGATAACAGAGGTAGGCACAAGATAATTGTGAGCAGCAAAAAGAAAGTTGAGTTGGATGTTTTTTAATAAGATAAGAAAAGCAGTTGAGCTAATGGAAATATTAATTATTAGCTGTAAATTTTTGAAATGAATGCTATTTTTAAGAGTTTAGGAGTCATAAATATTCAAGAAGCACACTATTAATTTTCAAACCAATCAATAATACAGTATAATCCTCCACTTAAGTTACCATTGAGAAGAAAGTTATTCACTACTTTAATTCCCACTGAATCTATATCCAAAGGTTTGGACTGATTACAGAAAGATATGTTGTCTACTTTGTATCAAAGTATTATTTATGACTGAAACATTTCTAAAGCAATAACCAGTTGACTATTTCATTGAGTAAAAAATCAAATATTTACTGATGTTTCTTGAAATCTTGCTGTCAGTCCAAAGCAAAGAATTTGATGTCATCACACTGTGTTTTCCTTAACTTGCCAGGAAGTAAACTTCAAGCAGATTGACTTGAATCTGGATCTTACTTGGAAAGCATAAGTGTCCAATAAACTGTGTTGTTATATTTTAATTTGGAAAATACTCAAGTTCCAGTGGCTTATCATCCTATACTTTACTTTCGGAAATCCTGCAATCCCATGTGGACTTCTGGTAGAATGAGCAATGCAAAGAGCTGGCTTGGACTTGGCATGTCCTTATACTTCTGGGGATTGATGGACCTTACAACCACTGTCCTCTCGGGCACTCCAACAGCTCAAGGCAAATTAGAAGCACTTCTGTCGCACAAGACACAGTCACATCTGCGAACCAAGAGGAGCTGGGTTTGGAACCAGTTTTTCGTTCTGGAAGAGTATACTGGGACCGACCCTTTGTATGTTGGCAAGGTAAGATATACCCAGTACAGAGATAAATTGTTGGGGTACCTGAGTTTAAAAGTGAGTATGTATATGAATTAAGTGGGAATGCTTACCTACCCTGTGTCTGAGGCCTAAGGAAAAGTTTAGTGACATGTTATTTAAAACCTACCTAAAATACAACTTTTGTTTTGTCAAATAAGAAAGGGAAGATTCCTCACCTTGTCCACATCTCTGTTCTGAGTGGAAAAAAGTGAAATTAGAACTGGGTGTTGGAGAGAAAGTCTCAGACACTAGAAGAGACATTCAGGTCCCAACGGAGGCAGCAGCACCCTCCTAGAAATAAAGAGGATGGAGCAGGAAGAACAAAAAAGCAAAAGGAAAAGGAGAAATTGTATCTTTTGTATTTTTTTCAAAGCATGTCCACAGGTATAACCTGAGGCCTAAATTTAATGAATAAAACATTTTTCATTTCAGAATATCCTAGCATGTGTTTTAGGATAGCTGAAAATAATCAGTCAATATATTTATGTAGGGGAAAGGAAAGAAGGGAATGGAATTAATATGAGAAAATGAAAAAATGGAAGCAAAGTCCTTGTAGGGCCGGGGATTTAGCTCAGTGGTTCTGCCACCACCTGCCTCACAAGCCAAGCACAAGGACCCCAGTTCAATCCCCGGTACCAAAAAAAAAAAAAAAAGTCTTTGTAAATAGGGAGGGATGGAGTGGTTGAAGGGAGGGCAGGGGAATGGGGAAAAAATAAGAAACGAGAGATTATGTAATGGTGCAAATTTCCAGTGATGAATGTCATTATATTGTATACCTAAAATGTACCAACAAAATTAATTTTAAAAAATATTTATAAACAGTATGCTCAAATTCCCTTGATTTATCTCTCATCATTTCATCTTTAAGCCTGGCTTTCTCCTGTGTTTATTTTATTTGGGTGTTAATCAGAGACCATTTTGTAAAAGCATCCAAGCAAGAGAGAATGGGAGACAAGGAATTAATTAGAAAATAAATCATTCAAATGATAACTTAAACACTTGTTTAGCACAAAGGCTGAGAGGATGGGTTTCAGATTCAAACACATGTGGTTCAAATCCCAGTCCTAACAATTACTTCTCTCAGCTTCCTCCACTTGAGCCACTTCTCAAGAGTTGTCTATAGGAGCACTTACTAGAGATCAAAACCAGGACTTCATGCATGGTAGACAAGTACTCTACCACTGAGTTATATCTCCAGCCCTATTTATTTTTTGAGATAGCATCTTGCTTAATTGCCCAGGCTGACTTTAAACTTGTGATCCTCTGGTCTCAGCCTTCTGAGTAGGTGGATTTTTAGGCATGCATACTGTACCAAGCTTCTCAATCTCTTTTTAATAGTTTCCTTGCTCTGTACCTACCACTGCACTAACTGTGTTTTCACCACTAAGAACCCTCTACTGCTCAATTCAATGATATCATTTTAGAGAACCCTCCAGTCACAGTATTGCTGATCTATCACTCCTTCCTCATCACTCTCCTCTCTCAATGTCATGACCATCACAATCCCCTGTATTTTCTCCTTTTTTCTCCACCTTGTTTGCTGGTCTTCTCTTCTAACCTCTATCACTGATGTGTTTGACCACTTCACCCTGGATTTTTCTGCATCGACACTCATTCCTGGGGACTCACTACACCTGTGCTTTTAAACACTATCTCTACACCAATAAATGCAAAACCTCCATCTCTAGCTAAAACCACTCATTAGAGCTTCAAATTCATAATTCTTGCTACATATATGTTATCTCCACATTTATGACTCACAAACCTTTCAAACATACCACACCCCAAAAAGGAACACTTGTTTTTTCCTTACAAACCTAGTCTTCCCCAGTCCTCCCTATCTCAACATTGCTTTTCACACAATTCCTAAAACTAAAGACCTAGGGGTCACTTTTCTTTTTTCCTTGCCTCCACATTCTCCCCATTTGCAAATTCTGTTAATCTTGTGCCAAAAAAAGTTCAAAATCTGTCATCTCTCTCATTTCTACTTCCACCATTCTCTCCCATCTGGGCAGATACCTAGCTTCCCAACCAGTCTCCTCTTGTCTACTTACACTTCTTCTAATGTATTCCTCCATACATGAGCTTTCTAAAAAAGTAAATCCAATTACATCTCTCCTCTACATGAGCCTGTTCGGTGTCTTCCCTTTGCCTGTTTAACCCTCTAAATGCCTCCCCACAGATTAGTGACTCAGCCTGCTCTGTGGCATCCAACCATGTTCTATGCTATTCTTTCCTTCATTCTTATATTCCAGGGACATGACCTGAAAATTCCTATAACTTAGTAAGTGCTTCCTGCATTGTAATGAAATGCCCTAACCCTGTCTTCTCCTATGATTGGCTGTTCTTCCTCCTCTAGTACTAATTTTGAATCTAAGGTGGGACCCCCTGTTAGATTCTCACCATTATTTGTTTTACACTCTAATCACAATATACCATATTTATTTTTTACATGTTCATTGTCTGAAGCCCTTAACTAGACTAGACATTGCTCCTATTTAATCTCCAAGGTCTGACTTGGCACAGGTCACATAAATGATGCTTAAAAAGATTCTTAGTGAATGAAAAATAAAAAAGATTAAGTAAGCTAATGCATCTAAAGTACTTAGCACAGTACCTGGTCCACAGTGAGACTTAAATCATCATGACCTTGCAGGTCATTAGTAGTAGTATAAGGAGTAGCAGTAATAGTATAGGGAGTCCATTAAAGGAATTTACCAACTCTGTAATGCATACCTAATGTAGCTGAAAATCCCGTAGCCTCAAAATACGTGAGTTTCATTCTTTATTTTATTTGTTCTTCATGTACAATCTGTTACTGTATCTGTCAATACTTCCTTGCTCATTTCTCTCAGATTCATCTCTGCCATTCTGGGCTTCATCATTACCACCATCATCTGTTCTTCATGATTAGATTAACTGAGTAGGCATGGCTGTCTCCCTGGGCAGAGGCTCCACCCATCCCTCCTCCAGGGTGAAGGACATTTATCCTCTCAAACCACTCTTTCCAGCTCATAGCTTGCTCTGATTAAGAAAATGTTGTAGCTCTGAAACACTTAGCAGAGCTCCTAGCATTCGTTCAAGGACTTCCTCTTTCATCCAAATCTTTCTTACAATTTTTCAAATCAGGAACTGTTCTAAGCCAACGTGGATCTCCTTTCAAGCCCCTCATAAATCATGCAGCTCATACCACATTTGTCCTCAACCCAGACATGTGTCCATGCCACCGCCCTCCCAAGGACATGCTCTCCCCTCTTCTCATAAGCCACATTCAAATTCCTCAGGTTCCAGTTTAAATGCCACTTTTGTCAGGAACACATCTTCCATCTACTCAGAATTCTAAAGACTTCTACACTCTCAATATTGGTAAAACATTTCTTGCAAATAGACATAGTTATTGCCAAAATAAATTTAAGAAAATAATTCATTTCTACAGTGTAACTGCCTTGTGCTCTCTTACAACTGAGGGCCCCCTTCCTTTCTTCAAAGACTAGAAACAGATGCTGTTTCCCAATCTTGTCTAGAATAGAGCTAGCATAAAACTGGCCACAAAAAAGTGCAAAAAGACAAAAGTAGCTAACATTGTAATGGACTACCACAGTACTTTGTGTCAGTCACATTCACATAAAACAGATCACTTCATCACTGTAACAATGCTGTGAGGCAAGTGTAATTAACTTAGGGAATAGGCTCAGAAAGGTTATGTTCACTGGAAGGTGGCAGGTAAAGCCTGGATCAAAAATATTCATCTCTCTCACACCAAAGCCAGGGGCTTTCCTTTACATTGCTCTTATGTGTCTAGTGACTTTAGATTTAGCCCTGAGGGCACAGAAACAAATAAGGTGGAATCAGAAATCTGAGCCTGACAGCTTCCTGAATCCTTTATTATTGAACCTCGGGAGTACTTAGCTATTGTATCACTCTCTAGGACTCACTGTTAGTGTTAACCCTTCCTAATTACCCTAACCCAGGATACAGAACACCCCACAGTCATCTGATCCAATCAGTGCACCAGCAACCAGGGAAGGTTTCACTCTGGGCTGGGTTTGTTACCTCCACACAAAGAAGACAGATTTATATTCACAGACCCAGACCCTTTTTCCCCTTTACTTTCTTTTGAAAGAGAATTCATATACCTTTCATTCTATTTACCCCAGAGGTACTGAGCTTATCACCTTGAGATCTAGATGTCTGTGGAGAGACCGCCTGAATATTTGCTTATTTCAGAAACGAGTATGGTAACAATTATTAACTGTAATTGGTATGGCCTTATAAAATTCACAATGGGCTTTCCAGGGACAAGATGGTGTTGAGTGAAAACTAGATTATATTGACATATGCAAAGCAGGCTTTTCAGGGAACATGTGTTTGTGCATGCATCTGTGGGTCCAAATCATGCTGAGGTTAACATGTCAACACTGTCTAATCACAATTGTAAGCATTTACTGCACTTCTGGAATGTCACAAGGCATTTTGAAAGATGATAAAAGGAATAAAAGCCACTTTTCAAAATCCTAAAACAACTGAGATTTTTTAGATCTGCAGCTACTTCCCATCATTCACTCATTTGGCTGAAGAATTATTAGGACAAGTGAGATATTCACCTGTCTAGATTTTTTTAGGAAAAAAATATTTCCCCAAGATATATATATGTGCTGCCAACTTCACTCCACAAGCTCCTTACCTTCCCCTACATAGCTAGTGGTCAGCCACTGTAGGTTGGATTAAATATATATATATAAAACACTTTTTATTACACTGAAAACTTGCTGAGTAACACAGAAGAGATCCTAATGTCCCTTCTTTGCATTTTCCCAAACAGATGTGGATTCTATGGCTGGCAAAGAACCTTCTATGTGCATTATTGGTTTCAAGCTCCTTAGTAGCTTTCCAATCCATAATCACCTTTCCCTATACTCTGTGATCTGGAGCTAGGACTTTGTACCACAGTTTCTCTTTTTCCAACTGACTCCCCAAAAGTTTCTTCCCTATGAATGTATCAGAGGGAGGCCAGAAGGCTGGAGGGGGAAGAACGAACTTGCTCCTTTACTCTGCTAGCCCTAATTTTGGAAGCTTTTTCACACTCTTCACCCCATCACAGCCCCTCAGGAGCACCAGAACCACAAATGCCACCCCCTTTCCAAAGGCCTGACTCCCAGGTTTTTCAGGACTTTGAAGTAGGAGGCTCCTCTAATCTCCTAAGGCTCCAGTTCTGGGGGGTGGGAAGCCCCTCCAATATTTAGATACCCGGAGCCCCAACCCCTGGGCCTCTGTGAACCCTGCCAGAGAGGCCCTGACTTTCTACTGGAGTTCCTCTCTTGCCTTTTCAATCCTCCATAGTCAATAACCTCTTAAAATAACTGGTGGAGGTTTTGTTTCCTGACAAGATCCTGTGTGAGTGGATCCTTTCCCCCTTCATAGTTAATACTCTCTCTTTTCACGGGGCCCCCTCTTGCTTCTCCATGGGAGTCCTCCCTCTCTCCCGCTCCCCTCTCTCTCTTGCAAAGGGGCAAGCGTATACTCAGAAGCCAGGGGAAGATGCTAGCTCTTTTGAAACAAAGGTACTATATAAAATGGTTCCACAAAATGCATTAGCTCTGCCCCTAGACCGTTCTTTCAATAACTTCTAATGTGTACATATTACACATAAAAGCCCACACCAAGATGAGGGTCCCATGGTCCCTACCTTCAAGGAATTCAGTCTAGAGAGTTTAGCAAAAATAACAGATCTCAGCCTCAGCCCAAATTCCATTTGATGTCAGTATTATCAACTTCAAGAATGAGAGTCTCGGCTGGGGATTTAGCTCAGTGGTTTCACTGCCTACTGCGCAAGTGCAATGACCCAAGTTCGATCCTCGGTACCAAAAAAAAAAAAGAATGAGAGTCTCCTCTTCAGGAGCAGTGACTCCAGATTGTGTTATTTATTATGCACTCTCCAAGGGGAGAGCACTTACACTAGGCCTAGGCTGATTACAAGTATGTTTAGTTCTATACAGTTCACAGGCCAAAAATTTTTAGGTGATAAATAGAATACCTCAAAAAATTCCTGGGTTTGTACATTATGTCAGCTTCTGTCCACTCCACCACCACCACCACCACACACATACACACCAAATAATCTGTCATGCCCTAAATTAACTTATTTCAGTGTAAGTTCCATACCACATGCCTTAAAATTCGCTCTCCCTTCCTCCTTGTGTCAAACACACACACGCACACATGCACACACACGCCTTTTTTTCCTTCTTTAAGAAACATCATGAAATCTTTTGTCCTAATCCTCTGCTGAGGAGGATAGTTCCAAATGGAGTGCATTCTCATTTCTTTGTGCCCAAGTTCAGCTAAAATGTCTGTCTAGTCTCACCATTAGCTGCTGGGCACTTCTGCTTTTTTTAACTTGCATAAATAGAAGATTTGAGTAGTAAAAGAAATATTGATAAACACTGTATGTGGAATGAGGAAACATAAATCTTTGCATTCTACACAGATACTTCAAGATAAAAAATCCACAACTAATTTTTTGCAGTCAATTTCATTCTATTTCCCTTTTCTAGTAAGAGACAGCTGAGTTCCTCTAGCTGCCTTTAGACAGCTAAATCATTGCCTGCGTGACTTGGCCAGGAGTCAGTTTGAGATCAGCTTAACGCCAGCCACAACCTCCAAAGCCATTCCTATCTGTGGATGATGTGATTACATTTCCAGGTGTCTTCTTGGTGTCCATGAGCTTTAATCCTCAGAGTAGCACTGCCCTACCAATGCTTCAGGCAGCCTTTGGCAACCCTGGCCATTGGGCTATTACAACAAAAAAGCCTCCAGGTAGTTTTTGCCTTTACTGCTATACTCCTGGAGGCTTGAAAGGATCAGAAAAGAGCTGGGTATGTTAATACTCTTTTCTCTATGCGGGTATATCATCATTATAATCGGCCCTATTTATAGTGCTCCTAATTATGGGGGGAAAAACTGTGCTTTTTATATATATATTAATCTCTAATCCAGTAATCTTTTAAAATAAGTAGTAAAGTTTTTTTCCATTTACAAAATAGGGAAATTAAAAGTTATACACAGTAAATAATTTGTTAAAGGCATTCACTTTACAACTAGCATACATAGTGTTCAAGTCAGATATACAAGGGATAATCGAAAAATACAGAGAATGTTCACATTGTAAAATTTTTTATTACAGTAAAAGACATGTTGCCATTAATCCTCCTCAAAATATTCCCTCACTTATCCCACCATTCTTGCCTCTTTCTGAGGCAGTTCTGGAAGTCCCCTTTTGTGCATATCCTTACAAGTTATGATAAAAACATGGTGAATGCCACTGCCAAGTACTACCCAATGGAAAGGCAGGCTCATATAAACATTATGGTATGTCTTCATTCACCTTATTCACCAGATCTGGCACTATCTGACCCCTGGCTATTCCCCAAAGTCAAAATGGCTATGAAAGGTAAATGCTTTAAATCGATTCAGGACATCAAAACAGCCACAATAGCACAACTAAAGAAACTCATGAGAAAGGACTTCCAGAACTGTTTCACAAAGTGCCAAGAACTATGGGGTAAGTGTATTTTTTTAACAGTGGGGCATTCTGAGGGAGGTTTCATGACAATGTTTCTTTTACTGTAATAAATTTTTTTAATTTAAATATACACCAATTTTTCTGATCACACCTCATACTTAACTCCCTACCCTAAGCTTAACACTGGTTGTCTGTTTTATGAATTAATCTCAGGAACTTCACTGTACTATGAAAAATGCTAACAATGTAGGCAACAGCAGTTAGCTGTACTAACTAAATTTAACTCATTTTTTTGTTGTCCCTTTAGAAAGAAAGTGTTACCTACAAGGCAGCACAAAAGTCCAGGATTCTTGCCACCAATACACATTATCCACAATTATTAGTGCAGAAATTTGTTCCTGGGCCTTGAGACAAAAATAGCACTCCTCAGCTCCTCTGAAGAGACACTCAAAAACAATCTGGGAGGGATATAGTTTGATGGGCAGAGAGAAAAATGCCCATAACTCAACCATCTGCACACATACTTGAGTGATTCAATTATGAACCCAAGAATGAGTCTCACCAAAAGGAGAGATACACTGATATAAACAATTTAATCAGCACTTACATTCCACTTGACACTTGAAACATAAGCAAGCACAGTCCTAACTGAATGAATCTACAAAATTAGGGTCATAGGCTGAGGAGTTGCAAGAGTCCCTGCACGTATTATTTCCCATACGATGGTAGCTGTCATCTTTTAATGAATCACTTCATCAGCTTTTCAACGAAGTTGAATTGTCATAAAAAGTTTTTGATATTCCAAAAAACAATTTATAACAATTTTTAAATTTTTAAGGTATTTAGGCTTCTTTTCTCTTTTTTTTTCTTATATGGAAAGGCAAAGTTCCTCCATATTAAATTTGCTTTTATTTATACCTCAGGATTATACCTTTCAAAAATGTTTTCTATATTTCTAAAGGAGTGGAATTTTAAAATAATATTAAGTTCATGATACTGAATATGATGTGGAAAAACTTTATCTATCTGTATTTGCTCTTTGATCCAATCCTGTTCAAAGCATACTTCTTTGTTGACAAACTTTTTAAATACTTGAATGAGAAAAGGCATTCCTATGTAAAAAGAAGGTCATAAGTTTGCACCAAACTAAAAAATCAATTTATTCCCAACACCTGTTCATATCCATAATGAGATTTTGATACTTTTCCCCCCAGCTTCATTCAGATATGGATAGGGGAGATGGATCCATCAAATACATCCTCTCAGGAGAAGGTGCAGGCATCGTGTTTACCATCGACGACACCACTGGCGACATCCATGCCATCCAGAGACTTGATCGAGAGGAAAGAGCCCAGTATACTTTAAGGGCTCAAGCCCTGGACAGGCGGACAGGCCGTCCAATGGAGCCAGAATCAGAGTTCATTATCAAAATACAAGACATCAATGACAATGAACCCAAATTCCTGGATGGACCTTATGTTGCCACTGTGCCAGAAATGTCACCAGTGGGTAAGGTGGTGATTCACTAATTTTCACAAACAGCATTTGTCCTATGGAAAATCCATAATAGGTGGATGCAGAAAAAGAGAATATGCAAAATAGCTCACAAATTTTAAAAGTGAATAAAAAATGGTAAGTCCTTTGGCAGGCAGGAAGCTATTTAGACAATGGAATCAGTCACAGCATTGTAAATGACAATAAGCCCTGTATTGTTTTCCGGTTCTGGTTCTTTAAAAACAAAAGAAGAGATAAATAATAGATAGATGGATAAATAATATTTGATTCATAAGAGAGAAGAATTTTGGTATTATCAAAGAGCAATGAAGACCCTAAACACTGTGCATCCTTACTTGTTGCAAAAATAATAATAATAACTATTACCCCATTAAACAGGTAGAAGATAGGAATTATGGAAGTTTGACATGAGACTCTCCCCAGAAAGCAAATACCACAAGTGCAAATCCTTTAAGTTTGACCACTCAGGATTGTATCTGGTCTTTAGCAACTGGACTTGAACAGGTTTCCACAACTTCTCTTCCTCAGGTACCTCTGTTATCCAGGTGACAGCCACAGATGCTGATGATCCGACCTATGGCAACAGTGCCCGGGTAGTGTACAGCATTCTCCAGGGCCAGCCATATTTTTCTGTGGACTCCAAAACAGGTATCTGATGCAAGAGTCGAGTCATGCTTTATTCCATAATCCTTTGTAACTATTTCTTATGACACACCCAACTCTCCTTTCCAAGGATATTACAAGGAGTGTATTAACCAGCAAAGATTGTTAAAAGCATTAGGATTAAGAGAGCAAAATAGCACTGCCTTGGAGATGACAGCAGCACCATGTGTAGACAGTATACAGGTGCTTATTGGAGAAGCCAAGCCCTGTTTACACAGAAATATCTCTCATTTGCCTCCAAAAAATCCTATGATTATATTGGATCCCAGGGACCAAGGTCTTTTATAACTCCAAAAAACCAAGGGGACTAACCTGGACTCATTTTAGAACTAGAAAGAACCTTTGGGGAATCATCCAGCCCATCACCATCCACTTAACAAATACGGAAACTGGGAAAGTAAAACCAACCAAAGTTCATCTGGTTGTAGATAAGTCCCATGATATGGGATCTGATGTTCTTTTCCTGATCCACTCTGTACTAAGCAAAGCACAAGGCTAGAATGAATGGTTTCTGGGGCAGATAGGTTGTGATGAAAGAGAAAAGAGCACATGGAATGTGGCCCCTAAAAAGGCAGATAGAACTGAATAAAGAGCAGTATGGCAAAAAGCACAAACCAATAGAAGTCTGGGTGTTTTTTTCTGAAAGCTTTGACTGCAGAGTTCATATGTTTTAATCTATGAAGGGTTCCCTTTAATATGTTTGAGTTGAGCAGACAATTGTTATATTATTAGCTTACGCTTGTGCCAGGCTTTCTCCCTTTTAAAATACTTCCATAAACATTGCCATATTTGAGCCTCCCAATAATCTTGTGAACTAGCAAAATATAAAGAAGTATTATAACTCGCATTGTACATAGGGATAAACAAGAGACCTAAGAGAAGAAACTTCACATAGGTAAAGTCAATGGTGAATACAAAAAGTCATCACCTCTTTATTTAAAGGAGAAAAAATACACTGCTATTATTAGCAACCTGATTGAATTTTCTTTTCCCCAGAAGTCCTAATGATAGGCATTCAGAAAACTGTATCATAAAAGTAGAAAGTGAGCGAGTGTAAATTAGCGGGAGGAAAAAAGACTACAGCTAGGGACTTCTATAAAACAGTAACTTCAACAACTCTTCTAATGGGAGAGGGAGAACTAAAGGGTGCCCACAGGGAGGAAAAATATAGGTAGGAAAAGGGTAATGTGTCCTTTATATCTTAAGAAGAATCTTACATTATTTTGACAGCTCCCAGGGGGCATCTATAGTGTTAAGGTCAAAAATACATGAAAAGATAGTTATTGCTGTACCCATGAGGCATTTAAAAAAGAAAATGATGCATATTTCACTTTAGAATATTGTTACCAAATGCAATATACACGTTATAGAATAAACTGGGGATGATTTGTTGTTCTCAATCCCTTCCTTTTTCATGGAAATGGTCTATTTAAGCATTAGTCATGTCATAAACTTATAGCAAATGAGACTTTAGTCTTTACTTAGCATATATAAAAGTCAAATTTTCTAAGTTGAAGGGTTAAAAAGGAGATAAAATGTCATGGAACATCCTTGGCAAGATCAAAACAACACATTTCAATGGATTTCGTTTAGACCCCTCTTCTTAAATGAAACTGTATCATCATACTGCTATGATCATACTGCTTCTTACTGTCTGGAGAAGTTCCTTTTTTATGCATAGTAAAAACAAAAAACTCAGAGCATGTTTCATATCTGAGCTCATGGAATTCAGTGAAGCACAGAGGTAAGCAGAATATAAAATAAAGAATGAATATATAACAAAAGGAAAATTAAATCAGAATTCTAACCCTACTTACAGGTAGTGGGGAGACAGGAAATATAGAATAGCAAGTTATCTAAAGAAGAGTCATTCACACTACAAGGGCTCTAGTAGCTAAAGAAAGAGCTGAAGGAGAATTATCTAAAATCACAGATATGTAGACATATTAGGCTTTGTTTTCTGAATTCAAAGGCCCAGTTTTCTTTGGTGTGACTGAGCAGTCTGAAATTGCCTTGGACTGCAATCCCCAATTCTGTAAGAGAACCACTGCTGCCACCTCCTGTTCTCTCTCAGTAATTTTGCCAAAGGAAATAAAAACCTTGGAGTCCTTCCTGCTGGAATAGTATTTATTCACCACGTGTTTCAGTACAGCACTTTTTTGTTGTTGTTTTTCAAAGTTAAGTTTTTACCTCAAGTTTAATAAAATGAGTAACATGCTATCTCAACTCTGGGCATTTATAGTACACAAGGGAGAATCTAGAAATGAATCTTTCATAAGCTGAACTTATTGCTTTATTTTTAAAAACAAAGTGACTTCTATCCTGCAGGTGTAATTAGGACAGCACTCATGAATATGGACAGAGAAGCCAAAGAGTACTATGAAGTGATAATCCAAGCCAAGGACATGGGAGGGCAGCTTGGAGGACTGGCTGGGACTACAACGGTCAACATCACCCTCTCAGATGTCAATGATAACCCACCTCGCTTTCCCCAGAGTAAGTACCTAACCAACCAGAGCACAGCTCTTGGGTCTGAGGGACACACCTGATACAGAGGTACAAAAGAAAAGCCAGTCTGAGTGGATCCAAGTATTCATTAATTCCTTCCCTACACTCACTGTGAAATTCTAACACAACCATTTTCCATCTGAGCCTCAGCTTCCCATTGCACTTAGCTAGTGTTTTTCAAACTTTTTTTTTATTATTTCCTCCATGTAAGCCCTTTTAAGACTTTTTATGATTGCCATAGCCACCCACCTAGCATAAAATCAAATACTAAGAAATAAGATTTGTTGAGTAGGACTGAGCTTCATGGTCACACAAACAACTGGCATATCTAAATTTTTTTCACCACACCCCCAACATACATACACACAAAGGAAGAACCAATTTCTGTTATATTAAGAATGCAATTACTGAAGCTAATCCAAAGCTGCAGCAGAACATACCCACCCATCTGACGATCTTAACCAATCTATTCACAAATAGAAGCTGAGCATTTGCTTTGTAAGGTTATGTATCATAAGGGTCACCAGATATTTGAAACCTAATCCCCTTTCCCCTGTGAAGCTTAAAATCTATGTGTAGAGCACACGTTCTATACATAGAAAAAGTTAATCAATAAAGAGTATTTCGTGTGGCACTTGCATAGTTCACAAATGGTGTAAGTAAATTAAAGTTAAGTTACTAAGTTGACTGACCCTACAGTACAGAAGACTAATGTCATAGAATACTTTGCATAGGGATTGGCTCTTTGTTCACAATAAACTAATATGAATTAAGGCTTCCAGAAGGATAAGACTTCAACAGAGGGTCAAGAAATATGAAGGATTTATATAGGCATAACGGAAAATATTCCAGAATGGGGGAAGCTATTCATTCAATCAAGAAATACTTGTTCCAGACATCATTCTAGGTATGGGATACAGAGCAGTATACAAAACAAACAAAATCTGTGCTGCTCTCTTACAGCTCATTTGACTATGTATATATATAATATTTTTATAAAATATATATGTGCCAAACCTGCATATAAAACTGCCTATATCATTTTATGGTCAAAAGATTCCTAAAAATCAAGACGTGCTCTTATAAATGTGTTGTATTTCTTCTTTTTCTTTTTCTTCCTATCTTTATTTCCCCCCAGTAGTGGAGACTAAACCTCTAATACTGAGCTATACTCCAGCCCTTTTTTTCTGGTACCAGGGATTGAATTAGGGACCTTGCGCTTGCAAGGCACGCAGCGGAACCACTGAGCTAAATCCCTGGACCCATCCCTTTTTATTTTTGAGAAAGGGTTTTGTTAAAGGCTGGTGCTCATTTGAGCAGCACATATATTAAAATTGGAAAGACACAGAGAAGATTAGCATGGCCCCTGCGCAACGATGACACGCAAATTCGTGAAGCGTTCCATATTTTTCAGACTTCTCAACACAAACCCTCAAGTCAAGGATAGCCTGAAGTGAAGTATTTCAAGCCCTAAAAGAAAATAGCTTCCAACCTAGACTGTTGTATCCTACAAAATTATCTTTCAAAATCGATGGGGAAATTAGATACTTCCAAGGCAAAGAACTCCTGAGAAATTTCATGAACACCAAACCAGCACTCGAAATAACTCTAAACAATATCCTAGAAAAAGACAATGAAGATCACAATTCCATGAGGCCCAACAGAGGGAAGCCACCAGGCAAGACAAGAACCTAAAGGGAAAGGGAGGAAAATAAGAAATAAAAGAGCCAACAACAGTAAAACATCATGAAAAGGATGAGTCAATATCTATCAATTATAACCATCAATGTTAATGGCCTCAATTCATCAATCAAAAGAAATAGACTGGCAGAATGGATTAAGAAGCAAAATCCAACAATATGCTGTATACAAGAAACACACCTAACTCAAAAAGAAATTCATAGGCTGAAAGTAAAAGGATAGAAAACAGTTCTCCATGTGACAGGAACCTAGAAAAAAGCAGGGGTAGCAATCTTATTTGCAGACAAAGTAGATTTCAAATCAAAACTAAGAGAGGTAAAGATGGTCACGACATCCTTGTGAAAGGAACAGACAAGAAAAAGAGATGACAATCATAAATATTTAGGCACTAAATATGAATGCCCCCAACTATACAAAACAAATATTAATGGACATGAAAAACCAAATAAGCACTAATACAATTGTACTGGGGGACCTCAATACCTAACTATCACAAATAGATCATCTAGATAAAAAATTAACAGCAAAATTCTAGAACTGAACCAACCTACTGAACAAATGGACTTAGTAGATATTTACAGAGTGTTCTACCCCTCAAAATCAGAATACACATTCTTTTTGGCTGCACATGAGTCATTCTCCAAAATAGACCACATGCTAGCTCATAGGACATGTCTAAGGAAATGTAAAAGAATTGAAGTTGCCCCCTGTATATTATCAGACCATAGTGCAATAAAATTGGAGATCAATAACATAAGAAACCTCAAAACCCCCACAAACATGGAAATTGAATAACACTCTCCTGAACAACCAATGGATCACAGAGGAAATTAAAGAAGAAATTAGACAGTTTCTACAAATAAATGATAATGCCAGTACAACATACAGGAATCTGTGGGACACAATGAAAGCAGTTCTACACAGGAAATTCATAGCAGTGAATAGCCATATTAAGGAAACAGAGAGAACTCAAATAAATAACCAAATTGTGAACCTTAAGCTCCTAGAAAAAGAAGAGCATAATAAACCCAAAGCTCATACAAGAGAGGAAATTATAAAGATCAAAGCAGATATCAATGCAATGGAGACTAAGAGAACAATTAAAAAAATCAATAAATCAAAGAGTTGGTTTTTTGAAAGAATAAATAAAATCGATAAACTTTTAGCCAACCTTGCTAAAAAAAAGGAAAGAAATGGCTCAAATCCATGCAATTAACACCAAAGGTGAAGTCACAACAGATCCAGCAGAAATCCAGAGTATCATCAATACCTACTTTGAGAACCTGTACTCTAATATAATGGAAAACACAGAAGAAATGGACAGATTCCTAGATACATATGAATTTCCAAAGTTAAATGAAGAAGATGTAGGAATTCTAAATACCACAATTACAATGAGTGAAATTGAAAATGTAATAAAAAAATTTACCAACAAAGAAAAGCCCAGGTCCTGATGGCTTCACTGTTGAATTCTACAAGACATTTAAAGAAGAACTATTGCCATTACTCTTTAAACTCATCAAGGAAATTGAAAGGGAAGCAAAGCTTCCAAATTCATTCCTGGAAGCAAGTATTACTTTGATTCCAAAACCAGGGAAAGACCCAACCCAAAAGGAGAACTACAGGCCTATCTCCCTAATGAACATAGATGCAAAAATCTTCAACAAGATACTGGCAAACAGAATACAGAAGGTCATCAAGAAGATCATACACCCTGACCAAGTCGGATTTATCCCAGGGATGCAAGGATGGTTTAACATTTGTAAATCAATATATTAACAGAGTCAAGGACAAAAACCATATGATCATCTCAAAAGATGCAGAAAAGCATTCGGCAAAATCCAACACCCATTCATGATAAAAACCCTACAGAAAATTGGAATAGAAGGTCTTTATCTCAACTTGATTAAGGTTATCTATGAAAAACCAACAGCCAACGTCATACTAAATCATCAAAAACTGAAAACTTTCATGCTAAAATCAGGAACAAGACAAGGATGCCCACTATCACCACTTCTGTTCAATATAGTTCTGGAAACATTAGCCACAGCAATTGGAAAAAAGAAAGAAAGAAAAGGAATAAAGATAGGAAAGGAAGAAGTTAAACTCTCATTATTTGCTGATAATAGGATACTTTACATAGAATACCCAAAAAACTCAATCAAAAGACTTCTAGACTTAATTGACAGATTCAGTAGAGTATCTGGATATAAGGTCAACACTCAAAAAAAATAGCCCTCTTGTACACAAATAGACTCACTGAGAGAGAAATTAGGGAAACAGTTCCTTTTACAATAGCATCCCAAAAAAATGAAATATCTAGGAATCAATCTAATGAAGGAAGCAAAAAACCTCTACATTGAAAACTACAGCACTCTGAAAAAGGAGATCAAGGAGGATATAAGAAAATGGAAAGACATCCCTTGCTCCTGGGTAGGAAGAACCAACATAGTGAAAATGGCCATACTGCCAAAACTATTATATAGATTTAATGCAATGCCAATTGAAATTCCAGCAATATCCTTCACAGAACTAGAGAAAACAATCCAAAAATTCATTTGGGGCCAGAAGAGACCTAGAATAGCAAAAGCAATTCTAAGTAACAGAGACATGGCTGGGGGTATCACAATCCCCAATGTGAAACTATAATACAAAGTTATTGTGATTAAAACAGCATGGTACTGGCAAAGAAACAGACTTGAGGATCAGTGAAATAGATTAGAAGATGCAGAAACAACTCCAGACATACTCAGCCACCTCATCTTTGACAAAGGAGCCAAC